CTTTGATGCCTGACCCTGATACCATCCACACCTCATGATCACACAGGCTGATGTGCTTCTTCCATGTGGGATTTATGCGCTAGATGGCTGCTTGTTTATCTTCACGCCTTTAAGACACCAGATGCTATATCTTTTGATGGCCGAGTGCTTATATTTTTAATATGAAATTTAGGATAAGTCAATCTATAGAGAAATTAGCTGGATTAATATATTTTGGGGCTTTTGAGTGGTTATGGAAGGGGAAGGTGGAAGCTGATAATAATGAGTGCAAGAATGAAGAAAATGTTCTAAAATTTATTGTGTTAATAATTTCACAATTTTTTCCAATAGTGTAATTGAGAATTCACATAACATACACTTCCATAATTCAATTGTATTTAAAAAGAGTTATTTATATGTATCACCACAATCAGTTCTATAACATTCTCTCCACTCCCGTATTCATTGTTTATTCCTCATTACCTTCCATCCACCCCACTCCTATATACCAGATAAGCCATCACGGCTAGCTATTATTATCTCTATATAGCTGTCTCTCCTGTGTTTCATAAACTGGGAAACATACAAACAAAACATAAAGAAAAAAATAAAAGACTGAGTATAATAAAATGAGCCAGAGGGGAAAAAAACCTCTGTTGAGAAAAAAAAAAAAGCAAGAAACACTTAAAACTAAAACAGATCCAAAATGGATCAAGAGGGTGATAAAATGACAAGGTATCACATTATAACCAAGTTCCAACTGCACAGTCAAGTTTACAATAGTCTCTGTCTTATAGCAAGGTTATTCGCTTCCCTAAACTGCGGTCAGTGAAGAGGTACAAGAGGCTTTATCCATGTGGGTACCCTGCAGAAGGATTTTAGGCTTCCACTGTCATCTATAGCCTTCTGATAATTCACAATTTAAACTCTGAAACTCTTCCCTCCTTTGTATTTGGATATTGTTGTTTATCATCCCTGTATCACACAGGCTGGTATGCTTCTTATTTGTGGACTTAGTTGACACTTAAACCTAAATGTCTGCTTGCTTGAATATAATAAGCCTTTAAGACCTTAGACTTGATTGTTTTAATAGCCAACATCATCTGCTTTCTTCACCACACTTTTCTGTAGCACCCATATTTCCAGTCATCTCTTCATGAGGGTGAGCATTGAGCAAGGTCATGTCATAAGAACTAAGAGTTCTTGGATTGGGTTTTTTCCCCTAAGATCATTTTATTGGGGGCTCTTGCAGCTCTAGCAACAATCCATACACCAATTGTATCAAGCATATTTGTATATATGCTGCCATCATTATTTTCTAAACCTTTTCTTTCTATTTGAGCCCTTGGTATTAGCTCCTCTTTTTACCTTCCCTCACCCCTCCTACACTCGTGACCCCTTGATAAATTATAAATTATTATTTTCATATCTTACACAGACCACTGTCTCTCTTCCCTCTTCCTCTCCCCACCTTCTCCCTACTCTCTTGGTATCACTACTTCCATTTCTGTTAAGTTTTTTTACTGGTTATGTCTGGTCCAAGCTTCCCCCACAGAACTCTCCACCATCTTCATGCTGATAGTCGATAACAGAGGGAACTGTCTGCTGGTGTTTTTACTCTTTCACTTTAAGAAACTGGAGTCTACTTATCTTTATGTTGAGATTCTTGCTCTCAGGACATGCAGGATATCTTCCTTAGCCTATTTTGAATATGTTTAAAGAATTGAATTATATAGTATGTGAAATATACAAGGAGGTACCTCCCACCCCCAAAGGGAAAAGGCTTTGCTGGGCAGAACTTTTGTAGTACGCGTTTTTCCTGATAGGTGAGCATCTAGCAACTTGTTCCGAGTTAATGCACCCAGTGCTGTCGCCTGGGAAGGTTTTCTCTGGCCACAGTGATTTTTTTTCATAAGAGCAGTTTCACTCGAACTTCATTTTTTTGTAATGTTCAATTTAAGAGAAAAGCGTGTGGCTGTGAAATTCTGTTTCCTGTTCAGGAAAAATGTCTCAGAAATGGTTGTGATGTTGAACATACCTTACAAGGACAGCACTATGGGAAAATGCAAGTGTACAAGTAGTTTTCTTATTTCAAAAATGGTGAAGTGTTGATTGATGAAAACCTCATTCTGGATGTCTGTCAACTTCCTGAATGGACAAAAATGTTGACAAAATTCGTGCACTTGTGCTCAAAGACCCATGAAAGACAATTGAAGATATAGGGAAGTTATCTGGACTCTCCTGGAGCTCTGTGCAGCGAATTTTAGTGGAAGATTTGGGAATGAGAAAGGTTGCTGTGAAATTTGTGCCTCTGGTTCTGACTGACCAGGAGAAAGAGCATTGAGGGGAAACATGCTATGCTTTGAAAGATCAGCTCCGAAGCAACCTAGGCTTTGTGTCCAAGGTCATTACTGATGACAAGACATGGAGCTACTTTTATGACCCCAAAGCAAAAATCAGTCAAGCCAGTGGAAGACACCATTGTCAAGCTTGTCAAGAGACATCAAAGCTTAAGATTATACTCTATTTTTTTTTAATGTGAGAGGGATAGTGCATATGGAGTTTGTCTCACCAGGTCAGACTGGTAATCAAGCTTCCTGTTTAGGGGTTCTGAAAAGATTGCATAACTGTGTGACAAAAAAGGCCTACTTTGTGGCCAGTTTTGTCACCACGACAATGCACTTGCTCACGCAGCCATCTCAGTATGCAAGTTTTTAGCAAAAAACAGGGTGACTCTCTTGCTTCACACACCTTACTCACCTGACCTTGGTCCATTCGACTTCTTTTTGTTTTTACAAATAAAGAGGAACATGGAAGGACAGTGATTTGATGACGTAGAAGATGTGAAGAAAAAATCCAAGGGAGGTGCTGTCAGCCATCTAAATGAATGAGTTTGAAAAATGTTTCCAAGAATGGGATTGCAGATTTGAAAAGTTTGTTAAGTGTAATGGAGTGTACTTTGAAAGTGATAAGGTTGTTTTATAAAAAAAATAGATACATATGTTATTAAGAGACTTTAAAAGAGGGTACTAACCGGGCTCCAGCATAGGAACAGTTGTGAAGGTGGCGCCGAATCCTGCAGTGTTTCCTTCTGTTGTGTATTGAGTTGCTATGTGTGAGAGCTGACCTTATGGTACATATCAACAACAGCAGCACCAACATTTTATCATTGTTAGATGAAATCATATTAAGTACTGGATTAGATATCATGGCTGTTTACCATCTCTGAAAAAATTACCACACTCTATAGTCATATTTTCAATGCTTGATTTATAAATATCTTGCTAATCAATATGGTTTGACTCCATTATTAATATTATCAAGGCACAATATATGGTTATGATGAGGTTCATCGCCAATATTATTATTGTTGGTAGGTGCTTTCCAGTTGATTCTGACCCATAACAACCTTATGTATGAAATAGAAAAGAACACTGCCCAGTTGTGCACCAACCTCACAACTGTTCTTATGCTTGAGTCTTGTTGCAGCGATTATGTCAATCCATCTCATTGAGGGCCTTCCCCTTTTTCGCTGCTCCTCTGCTTTACTAAGCGTGATGTACTTCTTCAGGGACTGGTCTCTCCTGAGAACATGTTCAAAGTATTTGAGAAGAAGTCTTGCCATCCTAGCCTTTAAGGAGCATTCTGGCTGTACTGCTTCTAAGAAAGAACTGTTTGTTCTCTTGGCAGGCCATTGTATTTTCAGTATTCTTTGATAACACCATCATTCAAATGCATCAATTATTCTTCAGGTTTCCTTATTCAATATCTAATTTTCACATGCATATGAGACAGTTGAAGAAACCATGGTTTTGTAAGGCACACCTTAGTACTTATAGTAGCATCCTTGCTTTTCAACACTTTAAAAATGTCTTTTGCAGCACATTTTCCCAATGCAGTGTGTCATTTGATCTCTTGACTGTGGTTTCCATCACTAATTCTAACTTATTTTTTTAAATAGTTTTTTGGGGCATATATTTCACATTTCATATAATTTAATTGTTCAACCCCTCTGACTTATTTTATTTAAATCTGATTAGCTAGCCATTTATTTTACTTTTAACAGGACCGAAGATAAATAATCCTGAGTGGTAGGGAAATATCAGCTCTGCTATTTTCCTATTGTTTATTTATACTTTCATTTTCAGTATTAACGTTAATGGATTGTCCTTTATATGTTTGAAAGTACTCCCCCCTCCCAGGAATAATTAAGTTAAAATCAAGTTAACCAGCAGAAACTCCACTAACAATATAGCCTCAGATCACTATGCATACTGTATGACTATCACGGGGAGGCCAGTGGTAGTGTCCATCTATAATAGCAAATACCCAAAGTCTTCCATGTGGGAGACCTGGGTTAGTTTCCCAGCCAATGTAGCTCATGTACAGCCATTATTTGTCTGTTAGTGGAGTCTTGTCATTTTCTGTAATGCTGAACAGGTTTCAATCCAACTTCCAGACTGAAACTGACTAGGAAGAAAGGCCGGTGATCTACTTCTGAAAACCACCCAAAGAAAACTCTGTGGATCACCATTGTGTGTGGGGCTGCCACGAGTTGAGGGCTGACTATTGCCTTTGCAGCAGCTAACAATTTTTATATGTATGCACACAAATACATTTTAAGCTTTAGAAATGTTTGGATTTTCATTAAAACCTCTAGGAGTGTGCAAGATATACTTTGGAGACCACTATTTCAAGAGTCATAAACTGGTTGTATTAGAGCTATGTGTAGCTTTGTGTCCTAGGATTTTTAATCAGCAACTCCTTCTCTGTTTATCGTACTGCCTTTAGGAATCTCTGTAGAAGTTCTCACAAAGATTGTAGGAAGCCTTCTCATCAATGGTTTTGTAGCCTCACTAGGCACACAACTTCTATCAAACCACAAAAAGAGAAGAGAAATTCAGGACCTCGTATCTAGAGAATACATAGAAATCCTTGAATACAATGCATTTGATTGGTGCTCAGTACTGGTTAACTTAGCTCAATCTTTTTTCTTTATTGCCATGTTGCAAAATATAGTATCATAAGAAAGGATTCCAGCTTCATATTAATTTCAGATTAGGCATATAGCAATATGCAAGTAAATAAAACTACAGTTCAGGAAGTTTATCAAATATATTTGACTTTCAAAGTAAGAATACTATTCATATGAATTCAAACGTGGCAGGCATTAACATATGTCAGGGTATTTCTGATTCCTTTGAAAAACAAATGCTCATCCATTTTATGAGGCAGTCCAATTCCATCAGAAACTGGTACATTCCTTCTTTCATATATTTCACACAATTGCCATTTCTTAGAAAGAACAATGATTTGTTCTTTATTGTATTTAAAAAAAATCTCATTCAGAAAGTCTGATATCACCAAGTCTAGTTGCCCTAAGCACAAGCGGAGTAGATAAAGTAATTATCTTTTTCCAAATAGGCAATTTTCCTGACAACTGTCAACTTGATGGTTGTATCCTAACAAGCCAAGAGGAAGTAGACATGATTAAGCAAAACTGGGCTCTTCCAGACCATAAATGGAAATTGTTGCTCCCAGCTACAAAGGTTAGTGTGATACAGAAACCATTAGAAGATGTGTAGGCTGGCCCTTCGTCAGTTCTCTTTCACTCCAGAAAGCTTTTAAAGGATCATGACACAATACAAAATGCTTTTAAGAAGAATGAGCTTTCAAGAATCATACTCTGTGTGTTCAAACATTCAAAAAAAAAGTTCCACTATCTTGTCATTATACAATAATTTTCTGCTTTTGAGTGTCTAATAATCAACCTTGTTTACATATATAAAACATACACTTTTAGAGGGAATTGAATAGCATGAATAAAGCTATAATGTGTGAAGCATGTTCTGAGATGCTACAGAAATGTCTTTTAATAAGTAGGATGGGGTGGTCATTTGCAGGTTGTGAAGGTGTTTTACTTATCTGTTTATCTAATTAATTAATTACTGAACACTATAGATATCATCGGAATCTGAGTATTCATGCCAGACTTAGTTATCATTTTCCTATTAGGAAATATTATTTACATAGTAGCTTTTACTTCTAAAGTCCTTTAATATAAACTCAATCTGATAGGTCATGCTGTGTACAGAATAATTCAAGGTATTGGGTATGTAGGCATTGTGTATGTAAGTCTATTTGGAACATGAATACCATGTTATAACTAAGAACTGCCACTCTCTCTGCTTTTCTTACAGTTACTACCAAACCAGAATAATCTGTTTGACAGTCTAACCTTGGAGCTCCAAGATGTCATCACCCATGCCAGGCTGACAATTGTCCCTGATGGAGGAGTGAGCCGTCTTCGGCTTAAGGGCTTTCCTAGCTCCATCTGCCTTCTATGGCCAAGGGAAAAGCCCACGTCGAGGTTTTCAGTTAAACCAGGTTTCAGAACAAACCTTTAAACACACAACAGTTGTGCTACTTGAATATTAATAGTTATTCAGTAATGGTCTTCATTTGATTTGGTTTGAACACCCAAATCTTAAGGTCTTTTGAGCAATGAATCTTTTAAGACCACTCTAATTCCTGGTTATTTAATAAAGTGATCACTCTCACAAATTGAGGTCTGTTTTTAAGATTACTATGAAGCACTTGGTAGTTTAAAAATTGTCTCTGGTAGATTATCTTTTAAGGAATTAACCTTTTTTTTAACAATCAAAATATTGACATTTTATAGCATCCATATTCTATATTTTGAGGCTATAGGTTTAACAAATAACATAGTCTATTGCCTTTAAAAGTTTGTTTAAGGCCAATAAAATAATTGTTTTAGGAACAATGTATTTATAGAATCACCCATTGTTCTAATTCACAACAACTAGCCTTTCTTTACCCAGAGTATCAATACCAGTTGCCTCAGAGAGGATTTGAACTCATGATAATTCCATGTCTGTTAGAGTAGAACTGTGTTCCACAGGATTTTCAATGATGGATTTTTTTAAAAAAAAGTAAACTGCCAGGACTTTCTTCTGATGCACGTCTGGAAAGATTGTATACTGCTGTTGGTACCACCCAGAGATCTTTTTACCAGGGATAGGGAATGCTTTAATGGTTACATGTTGGATTGAGATTGGCAAAGTCAGCAGTTTGAAACTAACAGCAACTCCACTGGAGAATGATAGGACTTTCTAGTCCTGTATACAGGTATAGCCTGGAAATTCAAAGGGGCAGTTCTACCCTGCCTTAGAGGGTTACTATCAGTTAGCATTGACTCGATGACTAGTAATTCCACTTTATCACAGGTTCAGCATGATCCCAGGCAAAGAAACATGTTACCAATTCTAAGTCAGGAATCCTAGATGTGTTCCTTTTATTTGAACTGGTCAAATATTCCCTATTGAACAGATAAAGAAACAGAAGCTAAGAAAGCTTGAGCCTCTTCTTGCCGGAGTCACGCACAGTTTGGTTCTAAAACATCCATTTACTGTATCTGATTCAGATACTTCCTTTACCTTTATCTGCCCCATCCCATCTATACCCCTCCCACAGATGGGTATAGCCCAAAGGGGGGACACCCCAAGTGGCTGCCTCTGCAGAGAAGGTCAAGGAGTTCTGTTGAAAAAAATGCTGTGGGAAGGGTTTGCTGGAGGGCAGAGGGAGGAATTGCCACCCCCCATCCATTCCCCATCTGTGTTAACCTTCTTCAAGTATCTCCTCCCGGCCCCTGCTGCCCCTCTTCTCCGTGGGCCAGGCTCAAGGCAGAGGTCATAATCGCCTGGAGGTCGCGTCAACACAAAGGGTCCATGCAGCGGTCAGGAGCATCCTCTTACAGGCAACTTCGCAGACGCCCAGGCGGTGGCAGCATCGCAGGCAGCTGACTGCGCCCTGAGGGCTCCCGAGCAGATTCCAGTCCAGCTGCATCCCACCTGCATGTGCCAGGGACCTGAGGGTATCGGTGACACAGTGATTGTTGCCTTCTCACTGCTGTCTCAGCCGGCTCTCCAGACTCACAGACCCGGGAGAAACAGAATCCCAGCCCCACCAACTGTGAGGCCCCCCACCAGCCGCAGGCTGCTCACCTAACAACAGGGCACAGGAGGCAGCAGGGGAAGGGCTGGGGCATCTAGGCCCAGGCTCTGGTGAAGCGCCACCCTGTTGTCCTCTTGCGTGCACCCGGTGCCATCATGGGCACCCACGGGACCTACATTCTGATAGACACCACCCCTGCCAAGACCATTTTGGTGTACCGCAACGGGGACCAGTATTATGTGGGCAAGAAGTTTGTCTTCAACCGGCGGCGGGTGGCGTCTTTCGAGGCCTTCTTGAACCAGCTGAACGAGGAGATCGAGGTGCCCTTCGGCGTGCGGCGCATCTACACACCCACTCATGGCCACCAGGTCCAGGATCTGGACACTTTGCAACAAGGGGCCAAGTACGTGGCCGCCGGTAGAGAGCGTTTCAAGAAGCTAGAGTAAGTGGCGAGCACGTGAGGGGTGACTATGTGGGCAATTTGTTCCTGCTGGGACTGGTTGCCCTATTGGGACTCCAAACAGTCGCTTCCCTGCCTTGAGTAGCCCCTTTAAGTGCTTTGGATAATTTTTTTTCATTGTATCCACTACGCCTTTTAAAGTCATGGGACACTTTTTATTTACTTTTGTAGCCTCTGTTTTAACCAGACTAACTCCGAGGTGTATGTGTAATGTAAAAGCGCTGAGCTACCTGGGTGGTGCTAATTTATGTTTCCTTGTGCCAGAGCTTCCACAGATGTGCTCTTCCACCTACTTCCTCTGGCCAAGAGCCCTACTCACGCTTCCACATCGATTTACTTAACATGGAATCATCGTGTGATTCTTTGGTGCACCTAGATGCTGTGGGTGGGTGGGCGGGGAGACATATTCTTGGGAAAAACAAAACAAACAAAACAAAACAAAACAAAATAAAAACCCCAAATAGAGAAAAGTCTCTGCTCTCTGGAGTTTACTATGGGGGTGGGGAGGGGGTGGGAAGGAAGGTGATCTACAATTCATATAACATAAATTAAAAAAAAACATTTTATTAGGGGCACATACAATTCATCACAATCCATATATACATCGATTATGTAAAGCACATTTGTACATTCATTGCTCTCATAATTCTCAAACCATTTGCTCTCCACCTAAGCCCCTGGCACAAGCTCCTCCTTTCTCTCCCTCCCTCCCAACTCCGCCCTCCCTCATGTACCCTTGATAATTTATAAATTATTATTTTGTCATATCTTACACTGTCCGACGTCTTCCATTACCCACTTTTCTGTTGTCCGTCCCCCAGGGAGGAAGTCATATGTAGATCCCTGTAATCGGTTCCCCCTTTGTACCCCACCCTCCCTTCACCCTCCCGGTATCGCCACTCTCACCACTGGTGCTGCAGGCATAATCCCTCCTGGATTCCCTGTGTTTCCAGTTCCTATCTGTACCAGTGTACATCCTCTGGTCTAGCCAGATTTGTAAGGTAGAATTGGGATCATGATGCGGGAGGGGCGGGGGCGGGGAGAGGAGGAAGCATTTAGGAACTAGAGGAAAGTTGTATGTAACATATACATTTTATAGAATATTAGAAAGGAATAAAGCAAAAAAGGGCTTGATCATCTGGTGTGACTTAAAAATAGGGTAGTCAGAAAAAGCCTCACTGAAAATTTGATGTTTGAAAGAACATTTAGAAAAAGGGTTAGCTGTGAAGATGAACAGTGAGAGAAACACATTGAAGGGCCACAATCAGATCTTTATGTATCTGACACAAGCCTGGCCGGACTGGGCATTGTGTGGTACCTGGACTATGTATTCTCTTATCAAAACACCGAAGTATTTAATTAGTCTCTGTCACAGTGTCTCTTGCTCTACACAGACAGACCCTGTCCCTGTTAATTCCATATGATGGGCACATAAAACAATACAGACCTACAGTAGAGACCTTGAAAATGCTGACTGATGAACAAATAAATCCTATTCTCCATTTCTGCTTAGATCAAGATAGTAGCTCAGAAGGAATGTCATTTGTCCTGGGAAAAACTACTCACATATAAATGCCAAAGCCACTGTGAAAATGGTAATGGAAATTGATTGGTCATATTCATGCTGTCAGTTATACTGAAGGATGTCCACTCAAAATGTCAATCTAATTCTTTTTTGTTAAGTCTGAGCCTGTTGTTGCAATCCTTTTGAATACCTGACAGCATATGTACTCATACAACACTTATGTTTATACATTTTCTTCCCAGGGGTGCCTCAGTTTATAATATTGTAGAATTTCTTAGTAAGTGCAATTAAATTGTCTTTGTAATCCAACAAGACAGATTAAGTGCAGTCAATCAGCAGATTGTATACATCTTTGTGTAGGGCAGTCTTTAGGATGTTGCAGGTGTTTCAAGGGCTTTAGTGCAAGGCATACAAATGACAAAGTGGTACAGAAGTGCAGATAAAATTTTGTGTAGATCTTCCTTTACAGACTGGAAAACCTGTTGAAGTCAAGTTGATTCTAATTTATACGAACCTTGTCTCATTCATAACTCAATGCCAATGAGTCAATTCTTATTTTTAGTGAACCTATAAGACAGGGTAAAACTACCCTTGTGGGTTCCTGAGACTGTAATTCTTTATAGAAGTAGAAAGCCTCATCTTTCTCCCAAGCAGCCTTGTAGGACAGATTAAAAACACCCCATAGGGTTCTCAAAGCTGTAATGTTCACCAAAGTTGACTGCCATATCTTTCTCCTACAGAGTGGCTAGTGAGTTTGAACCACAGACCTTTTGGTTATCCTGAAAGTGCTTAATTGATGTACCACCAGGACTGCTTTACAGAATGGAATGGGCATAAAGTGAGAATATTTTAATCTCTGAACTTCTATGATTCCTGAGTCTACAAAATTAAAAAAAAATCATTTTATTGGGGGCTCGTACAACTCATCGCAATCCATATATGCATCCATTGTGTCAAGCACATTTGTACATTTGTTGCCATCATCGTTCTCAAAACATTTTCTTTCTACTTGAGCCCTTGATATCAGCTCCTCATTTTCCCTCCTCCCTCCCCACTCCACCCTCCCTCGTGAATCCTTGGATTACACCAATTTTTATCTGCTTTTAAAATATATTACCTTTATATTCTTGCTAATCCCACCTAGTTTTATGGAGAAATGTGTCACATAGAGACAAGTATAGAAAATTATATACATAGTTTAAAAATAGCAATTTCTGTGTAAACTATTATCTGGATAATTGAAACAAAAACCATTGCCAATCTTTTAAATGCTTCTGCTTGTACAACCTATTCTTTGCTTATGTCATTGTTAGGTGCCGCTGAGTTCCCACCATAAAACAGACTGTGGACAACCGTCTTGTCCTGCACCATCCTCGCAACTGTTGTTATGTTTGGGCTCATTGTTGTAGGCATGGTGTCACTCCATCTCCTTGATAGTCTTCCTCTTTTTAGGCTGGCCTATGATGTCAAGCATAATGTCCTTTTCCTGGGACTGCTCTTTATATTGATAACTAGTCCAAAGTACACAAGTCCAATTCTGGCCATCCTTGCCTTTAAGGAGTATTCTGGCTGTGCGTCTTCAAATATAAGACTATTTCTTCTGACAGTCCATGGTACTGTCAATATTATTTTGCTAACACCATAATTTTGCTAACTCATTCATTCCTCTATGGTCTTCTTTATTCATTGTCCAAATCTCGTATGCATACAAGACAAAAATGCCATGCTCTGGGTTAGGTATACCTTCAAAGTAACATATTTGCCCTTCAACATTTTTGTTCCAGGTTTATTAGCACTTACTTCATGGGCCATACAATTCTATAATTCAATCATATCAAGAAAAGTTGTACAATTATCACCACGTTCAATTCTACAACTTAATCTTCCTTGTACATTGTTATTGATTTAATTTTTTTCTAATTGTGGCAAAATGTACACAACAAAACATCATCCAGTTTCACAACTTCTTCATGTATAATTCATTGGCATTGATTATGTTTTTCATGTCATTTATTATTATTGATATCCTTTCCTGAATTACTCCACCACAATTAACAGAAACCTAATGCCTCTCAAGTAACAATTCTGTCTCTTTCACCCACGGTAACCATTGGACAGGTGTTTTTAGGAGTTTTCTTGTTATAATGTTCACATATCATACACTTCCATGGCTAAATTGCTTTTAAAAAGAGTTGTATATACATCCTCACAATGACTTCTATGCTCCATCTCTACAGTTCTGTTTTCATTCTTTCTTTAAAAAAATCATTTTATTGGGGGCACATACAACTCTTATCACAATCCATTCATCCATCCATTTTGTCAAGTACATTTGTACATCTGTTGCCATCATCATTCTCAAAACATTTGCTTTCTGCTTGAGCCCTTGGTATCAGCTCCTCATTTTTCTCCTCCACCCCTGCTCCCACCTCCTTCATGAACCCTTGATAATTTATAAATTATTATTACGATGTCATAATTTACACTATCCAACGTCTCCCTTCACCCACTTTTCTGTTGGTTCATCCTCCCAGGGAGGAAGTCACATGTAGATCCTTGTAATTGGTTCCCCCTTTCCACCCCACCCTTCTTCCACCCTCCCAGTATCACCACTCTCACCACTGGTCCTGAAGGGATCATCTGTCCTGGATCCCTGTTTCCAGTTCCTCTCTCTACCAGTATACATCCTCTGGTCTAGCCAGATTTGTAAGGTAGAATTGGGATCATGATAGTTGGGATGGGGGAAGAAGCATTTAGGAACTAGAGGAAAGTTGTATGTTTCATCGTTGCTACACTGTAAGGGGATGTCCAGTTGCCTACAGATGGGTCTTGGGTCACCAATCTGTACTCCCCTCATTCACAATGATTTGCTTTTTTTGTTCTTTGATGCCTGCTACCTGCTACCTTCGACACTTCGTGGTCACACAGGCTGGTGTGCTTTATCTGTGTGGGCTTCGTTGCTTCTAAGTTAGATGGCCGCTTGTTTACTTTCAAGTCTTTAAGACCCTAGATGATATATCTTTTGCTGGCTGGATACCATCAGCTTTCGTTACCACATTTGCATATGCACCCTCTTTGTCTTCAATGATTGTGTTGGGAAGGTGAGCATAGTGAAATGCCAGTTTAATAGAACAAAGTATTCTTGCATTGAGGGAGTTCTTGAGTGGAGGCCCAATGTCCATCTGCTACCTTAATATGAAACCTACACATGCATGCACATACATGTGTTTCCCCATCCTCATAAACATATTTACATGTACATGCCTTTATTTAGACCTCTATAAATGCCCTTTGCCTCCTAGTTCTTTCCTCTATTTCCTTTGACTTTCCTCTTGTCTCACTATCATGCTACGCCTTCATTTGGGTTTCAGTAATTCCTCTTGGTTATATTACCCTTGATCAAACCCTACCAGGCCTCATGCACCCTCCTCACCACCAATTTTGGATCCCTTGTTCC